AAGCAACTCCACTAAAATCCAATTCTAGAACAGTCTTTATACTTTTAAATGTGCTTTTCAAAAGAAGCGTGGAGTTGAAAATGCCCGTATTGCTCCTTGACCAAATTTGCGGTTTGCTATAAATCAACTACGTAGTAACTTTATCATTAAGTTTTTGTGGTTATCCATTGTTCTTCTCCAAGAGCACTGCAGATCTTTGCATTCCCAACTTGTTTCTCACTCAGCAAGAACTTTCTCTGACCTTCCAACAGTCCTGGGTAAAATTAGCTGCAAACACATTCTCACTTCTTTACAGATATATGTGTCTAACATCTTTGTTTAATTAGAATACAATCATATATAGTAAACACACACTATTGCAGATTTCTTATTTCTTTTAAAACAATTCATGTGTTTCTTTCTTCCAGAAGGAGTCACTGTACCGTGTTGATAGCACAAGCACTTTGCCTAATCCGTCTTTGAAAGACTGCGTAGACAGGACTTCTTCCTTCTCCTAATGAGGGAGGTTTTATAGATGCATTCGAATCCACTCTAGATTTTAGACACTAAAATCAATTAGATACTGGGGCTCTCGGGTGACGGCTTTTTGTTCAGTTACTGTATTCGGTGTTTCCTAACTTCCCTTTTTGTTCAGGTGCCGTAGTCAATGTCTTCTTCCCTTCCCGATAGAAGAAACTACGCTTTCAGTTCAGAAATCTAAACATCACTCTGTGTTAGCAAGTCTTCATTCCCAGGGGCAGAGCTATGTTCTGTGAGCATCTCTCCACAGGATATAGCCTGCCAGGGACTGCAGAGGAAAACGGAATTGTAATCAGGTAGCAATATACTCTCAACTCTATGCATGGTTTAGTCTATAACCTTGGTATTTTCTCTTCATCTCCCCACCCCATCTCTCAGTCTCTATCTTAGTCTCTCTCTGTCTCTGTCTGTCTCTCTCTGTCTGTCTCTCTCTGTCTCTCTCTCTCTCCCTCCCTCCTTCCCTCCCTCCCCTGTACACCTGGCCAGAATTCCATGCTCTTCTGGGTCTCTTTGTAGTTTCCACAAAGGCATGATCCAAACACGACATGCACCATAGTTATTGCCTCTTATCAGCAAAGCAGTGGGCAGACTGTGTGTTCTTTTAATAATTCAAAGTTAAGAATGCTCTTCTGACTTGGGAGAGGTGGAAGAAAACAAAGCTAAAACAGTTTGATGGTTTCTAATACAGATAAAATCCAAAAGCTTAAAATAACCACCAGCGCAGAGCAGGTTAAACCTATTTTCTTCCCAAAGCAAACAGAGCCACTGGCTTGGCACCTGCTCACCTTCTGGTTTGTCTGTTTAGCAAGAGTGCGTCTCCCAGGGAGACGGCTGCGAGCGTGAGGAAAGGAACTGTCTGTCTTTGCACTGCTCATCCTGCTGACCTTCACATGGTGCCTTAGAATCTCTACATAAGTATTGTTAAATAGATGGCACAAAGCATTAGCGGCCCTATAACGCTCAACCCAATTAGAGCATCAGAGTTTACCCCAAGCTCTAACCTCCCTATAGCCCTCTCTCTAATTCCGCAGGAAACTTACACATCTTTAACTCTGCCTCGCCTGCTACACACCAAGAGCGCTTGTTCTGTTCTTGATTCAAGGCTTTGCAGAAACTCAAACGTGGGGTCATGCTATACTCAAGTCTCTAACACACGTTCATCCATCTAGCCCCATCTCTACCATCAACTGAGTCCCGTGGGGATTCTCTACCTTTCATGCACAGGAAGGAAGACAAAAAATCTTAGAAGTAAGAATTTAATATTGCTAATATAATTAACTGCCCTTTTGGGAAACTCCCTTTTTAATATTTAATTTTATTTGTAGCATTGTCTACGTGTGTGAGTGTATACCACGTGTGTGTGGGTGCCTGGGGAGGCAGAGGAGAGCATCAGATCTCCTGGAGCTGGAATTGCAGGTGGTTGTTTATCACTCGACATGGTTGCTGAGAACCAAACTTAGGTCCTCAGGACGAGCAGCAAGTACTCTTAACGCTGAGCCATCTCTCCAGGCTCTCATTTTGAAAGTGTTTATGGAACAGAATTTTCCACGTTGGAATTTTCCACATATTAGTATACTTCCTTTAACACGATTTGTTTCCAGTGCTGGGAATCCAGCCATGGTCCCGTCCATGCTACCCAAGCAAGGGCTCTGCCATGAACTATACTCCAAGATCCACCAACACACTTGTGAAATTCAACTTCTTTAACAAAAATATTTGTGTCTATGCAGCATGTATGTGTTTGTGTGTATACACATGTGCACATAGGCAACCACTTGCATGTATCAGCTGCATGCACATGCATGTGAAGGTCAGAGGTTGACAGTGAGCACTTTTCTCAGTCATTCCTTTGCCTTATTTTTTGAGCCTGGGTCCCTCAGTGAACCCGGAGGTCAATGATTTGGCAAGACCAGATGTCAGAAAGCCCCAGGGATCTTCCTGGTTCTACCCCCAACCACAGGGATTACAGGTGTGGACTACACCCTGATATAGGTGCTGGATGTCTCAAGTCAGGTCCCCAGGCTTACCCACCACGTACTTTCCCAAGTGAGCCATGCCCCCAGTTCCCAAAGAAAGCATTTTAAGTGTTAAGTGTACTGCTTATATAATCTGAGCCAAAGTATCTGGGAGATAGATCCATCCTTGGGGATGTCTTAGATAGGGCAGGAGTAACAACAGTAGGGTGGGTTAGTAAAAGAGCGTCTAGAACCAACGCACACAGGTTCAAATCATGGCCCTAATACACAGCAGCAGTGTGATCAGGTAAGCCTGTAAAATGAGGGCAGTGCTAACACGTACCGCTCAGGGCTTCTGTGAGGGTTAAATAGTATATCCAAGATGCTTAGAACATAAATTCAAGACTCACAGGAAATGCTCAGTAAATGTCAGCTTTAAGCATTTTGATTTATCCAGGGAGAGAATATGAGCGATCTCTCTCTAGGATATAAGTAAGCCCCAGATTGCTGTGGTTTTGTTTTATAAATTTCTGTATAAATTTTACTTAAAGATCTTATGTATTTTTTGTCCATTATTCTATTTATTTTTAGGAGTTTTCTTTTGTATGTTTGTTTTGCTGTCTTAAGGATCAAAACCAGGGCCTTGCATATATGTTAGGCAAGTAATCTACCACTGAGCTACCCTACCAACCTCTGGGTTCTATTTTTCATAGTTCAAGTTAGCTTCTGATTCTTACCTTAGTGTCACATTCTAGTCAATGCCTTTTCAATTCTCTTCCTCCTCCTCTCCCTCCCCTTCTCCTTTCTCCTCATATCTTTTCCCTCCTTCTCCTACCTCTTCCTCCTCATTTTTTGTTTTTCTGAAACAGAATCTTGCTATAGCCCAGGCTGGCCTAGAACCCAAGATCCTCCTGCCTCACCCTCCCATCACGTGTGTGCTACCACACTCAGCTCACGGTACCCCTTCTAACATGAAGCTTTACGGAGGCCCGAGAAACCAAAACACTGTAATACAAATTCGTAAGGATAAGGGTTTCCCCCAGTGAGGGCCTCAGGGCCACTCCCAAGTATAAGAAACCTAAGTGTTAACTCAGAAGTCACTGGCATCTATTTCTCCTTCGAGGTCTTTCGGGCTTACTTATTGAGTTCTCAGCTGTATTTTGGGAAGCTGGAAATACCAAATAAGTGACCTATGAATTAATGAGGCACCATTGTTCTGATTCTGTCAAGCATTAGTTTAATCAAAACCAAATGAAATGTTAGTTTCTTCAGGTTTTGCACTGTTAATTTTCTGCAATTATTAATCAGCTACCAAGGTAATTATTAAGCGTTCAGCCCAAACAGACTTTTTAGTGCAATACCTGCTCCAGTGTGGATCTTACCAACTTTGAACACATGGGTATCACTCCCTTTGCTAGCATACAAAGCTAGCATACAAAGCTAGCATATGAAGCCCAAGCAAGATAAAAATATTCCTAGGCAATTCGATCTGTCGCTCTGAGGCGGAAGTCATCAATTCAACGAAAGAGAAAAATAAGACTCATCAAAAAGGCTACATGAAAGAGCAAATGATGAATAGGTAAAGAGAGAGGAAAACAGGGACTGCACATTCTTGAAACTTAGAGGAAAAAGAAACAGAAGACTACAGATTCATAGAGAAACAGGGAATAATTCACCAACTTTATTCCCAGCCCCTAAGAATACTAAGCCTCCAATTTACTATTTGGTTCAGGAACATCTTCACCCTTTCCTCCCACTGGAAAGGCATGAGAGGGTTTGATAAGGACACCGTGCACATCGAGATGATCCAACCTTCTGCTCCTGTGGCCGGATGCCAGGAGAACACAGCAAACTCTCACCCTTGGGAAATCTAAGCCTGCACCGGAAGCTGGCAGCCACCAGGCCGCAATCTCTACACTAACAGATCTAAAAATTCATGGATATTTTTGCATTGAGTGTTACCTACCATTACATATTTTTTAAATGTCTTAACAGTGAAATTCTTTAACTCCTCCTATTTACAAAAATTCAAATAAAATGGATGCTGCGGGGAAATGTGCACCGAGTTCTCGTGCCTTCTCCTTGAAGCAGAGGTGTGTGAGCACGGGTGAAATAATTTGGTATAATAGGCTCAAAGGTCTCAAATATCTCTCAATAAATTAATAACCCAATTGTCTGTGAGTGCAAATTCCAACTCTTATGCACCTCAGTAAAGCCAAGAGACCGGAAGGATGGAAAACCTAGGTGGGCCCTGTAGTCTTAAAATGCCCTCATAGCTTGTGAGTTACTGTTCTTAGAAAGGGATCAATAAGGGTGTCTTCCTGCTCCAACATGGAGTTAGCTTTGCCCTAAATAGATTCAGTTTGGGAGCGTTGGATTACCCAAGAGGACCAGCATCGGAACAAAGCAAGCAGTTGTTCTTTGTAAACCGGTGATCACCAACACAGAAAACTCATGGCTGGATACAAAGTTACAACAGGCAAAGAGGGCCAGGGAAAGGTAACAAGGCCCAGAAAGGTGACTCACCCTCATCCTGATAATCTGACCAAAAGGATGCATCTGATGGGAGGGGTGGGCCGTGAGTCCCACTCAGATTGTCATCAGAGCTGTCCTGGCCAAGGTCTCCTCCTGAGGATTGAGAAAGAAAATCAGGTCATCCCGTGGACATCTTGATGAGCATATTTACAGGTGTCTTCTGGCACTTGTAAAATGGATGCATCTCTTACCTGATGTGCATATCCAAAAACCCTTAGCACATGAGAACCAGAAAAAGAACTTTAAGAACCAACTTACCTGTGTGCAAAAATTTCCCCTCTACCACCTCTCTCTAGCACTAAGCAACTGGTAGCATGGAGTGGAAGACCTTTCACCACAAAAGAGCAATTTCTCTGTCACATTTAAAATGAAAACATAGCTGTATAAATTTGTTTTCATATATTCTACATCTCCATGAATTACAACCTTTACCCCAAAGGCCTCTTTCTCTTTCCGTTTCTAAATGAAACAGAAAGAAAGACACAAAGGCTAATCTTCTCCACATAATATAATGTAGCAAGGTCAATATTCTCTCTCTCACCCTGAAAAATAAGAGCCGTAAACAGAGAGAACCCAGACTCTGCTGGATTCTATGCCTATTTAAATCACTACTTGTTTTGCAACCTTAATAAAGTTCTCTCTTGTAATTCTAGTTTACAGCCCGCAACCAACCTCTCAGGAATTCTAAAAGCCGGAGGAAGGTAATATTTGTTCTGCAAATGACTTTGATAAAAGGTAATGTATATACAATACTGAATTATGCAATTAAAACATTGCTAATCCCTTTTGGGTGTTTTCGGCCTGTGTTGAATTGTATTTTGTAGAAGTGGCCAATGCTATTATGATGCTTTAAAAGGTTCAGGCGGAAGATGTTAGCTCACTCAGAAACCGGAAGAAAATGAAAGCATTGTAAATTGCTTTCCTTAAAAATCCCCCAAACAGAGGTACAGACTGCTGATAAAAAGCATACCGACAGCTGCTTGGTTCATTTCACAAACATGAAAACGGGATTTTTCAACTGAATTTAATATTATCTCAGATACTAATTTCCAAAGGAAATCACCAGTGCTAATCTCAGTAAACACTGTAGTGTTTTTGGCCCAGAATTTCAACCAGGGAGCAGTGAAACCGAACAACCTGCATAGAATCTGTATTGCCTCACTTTAAAGGTTTATTTCCTAAAATTAAACTACAAGGACAGGGAGGATATAAACTGATTTTAAAAAGGGGAGGGGGGGGGAACGAGGGAATGGCTGTGGTCTTCTGTTTCCACAAACCAGACTCATCTCCAAATGCCCGGTGGTAGGTAGATGCCCGCCCGAGACTGCCCAGAACACTTGCAGGCATAGGACTTTAAAATAAACTGTAGCGTTTATTGTAGAAAAAAATTCTTTGACCTGATGCGACAGTGAGTAGCTAAAGCCAGAAGAAACATGCTTTGAGCGTAAAAGCGTCCCTGTGCGACTGCTAGCCAATAAAAGTCTCAGATACCGGACAGAGGGTTAAAACACTCAAATTTTACGCCGTAGCAGAGCCTCTGAAATGACATTATCAACGAGGACGCAGAGGAACTGCCAGGCTCGAAACCTGAGCGTGAGCTGCAAAGATAAAAGGAATGTTCATTTTGGTGGCAAATCAGAAACCTTTGTTTAAAAGAAAGTACTGTATGTTCCAAGCAAAACTGAACACTTCTGGGACATGCTGAACTTCACTGGTCAACCATCATTCTCGATGTAGCTTTCTGCTTGCTTCAGATACCTGGTAGAAGTACTGCCGAGAGGAAGAACCCGCTCCTGTCTAGTCTAACGTCTAAAAAAATATACATGATGATCAGAGGGAATTTTTGTTTTTGTTTTTGTATTTTTAAAGATTTTTTGAAATTTTAAATAAACTGGGTTTTTGTTGTTGTTGTTGTTCTTGTTCTTGTTTTTGAGGCAGGGTCTCTCTATACAGCCCTGGCTGTCCTGGAACTCGCTTGTGTAGACCAGGTTGGCCTCGAACTCATAGAGATCCTCCTGCCTCTGCTTCCCAAATTCTGGGACACCACTGCCCATCCTTGAAATAAGTTTCGAATGTGCTGTAAAGCTAGCACAGCACTTGTATACAGCCTTCATCCAGCTTTCCCCAAAGTCAGCTTCTTCCATGAGGGAACTCTATCTGCCAAACCAACGAATTAATCCCGGCGCATTCAGGCTTAATTTATACTTCATGGAATTTTCCACTAATGACTTTATTTCTGTTCCAAGATCTAGTCCAGCATGCAGATTGTGTTCACAGCTCCCTTGTCTAAAAATTTTACCCCAAACACCTGCCTAGAATTGACTGGATTTAGTCACCTCAGAGGTAAAGTCCCTTCCACAGGATTCAGTGGTGTCTGAATAGTTACACAAGGTGGATTTCAACTCCACTGTGCTCGGTGCCCCTGTGGCCCCCCCGCCGCCCCGTCTCCACATGCAGCAAGGAAGGATTATAATGCAACGCTTCCAATGGAGTCTAGGTCGGCACTACAGATGGCTGTGGTGGAAAAACATGCCTTACACTTAAGTGCAATTAGTTTCTGATGATGAAGATGTCATAAGTGTTTTTTACGGTATATCCAGTGGCCCACCTCCCCTGAGCTCACATCGAATCTAGCCTATCACACTGCGTAAATAGATGTTCCTGTGTCATTAAAATGATTACAACTAGTTAAGATGCACAGGTGGAAAGTTTTATAGAAGAACTGACAGTTACCATGGTCATTCTGGGTCAGCTGAAGTTAAAAGGTATAGTTTTTCCTTAAAGCAAGCCTCGCGTGTTCGCTGGATTCATCTGCAGCTCTCACAGTCCCTGTTCCAAGTGGCCACAACTGGAGTCCAGTGGGATCAGACATAAATGATCACAAGCTACGGTGACAGACATTTCCACTCAGCAACTGAACAATTAGGGTTTTGAACTCCATCTGCTTAGAGCGGCTTTCTCACAGGCAAGGCCCTCTCTCTGCCACTGGAGACACACTTCCCACTGCAACTCACTCAGAATCAATACATTTCTCTACAGATATACATTCTAACACACTATATCTCCATTAATCACATCCACTGGCTTCAGTCCCTTTCTTTGTATTTCTAAACAAGATCTAGGGGAACTCTATCAGGGGTTCACCTGCTATTAGCTGGTAATTTGTTCCGCGATCTTGAGTGTCATAAGAATTGGGCGCTCTATATGCTCCTTAGTATATTCAATGGCGGGCTCTCCACTGAGTACTGCGCTGAGGGGCCCATCACGGAGGTGATTTCTCTATTATTCTTTTCCGAGAGTCAAACCCAATTTCATTCATACTTCATAGAGTGATAAGTTGGGGATTTCTGGGTTTGGAGCAGAAAGATAAAAGAGCTTCATGTCCGGTGTGAGGCAATTATTTGTCAGGGATTCCGTGTTCTTTGTCTTTATTCTCTGTTTTCACCACCAGCTAATGAGCTCCCCCTTAATTCGGAAACAGTAGCTTGGCCACTAAAAGTTGGCTTTTGCAGCTGTTGCCTCTCCATAAACTTTATGGAGAAGTGAATTAAACTGCTAAAAACTTTCATTTACTAATTCAGTTCCAAATAGAATAGGAGAGAAACGAACCATGATGTTCCCCTTGTAATTCTGGACAGTCGACTGTTTAGGGACAAAGACAGAGCACGGTGACAATTTTACCAAAGAGATGAAAAGAGACAGAAAGCAGGTTGGACATTTTTTTAAATGTAATGAAATGTAAGCTGAAATAACATATGAAACAGAAACGCCCGTTTTCTGTTCAATAGGTAAAGACTCATCCGTTTCCTCGTGTCGGAAGAGGTCACCAGCGACCATTTCTCTTCTAGTTAATTGTGAGTGCGTTGTTATAAAATCCGTTGTCAACTGGAAGCAACTGTGTGTGCTGCATGCTTAGAAACTTCCTGGGCTTGTTCTATGACTTTGTTACCTTTTTTTTGGATAATATACAGAAACAGAAGTAGTGTGAAATTGTAATGTTTTTTCTGTTACCGCTATTGACATTAGAAGAGAACACAGGACTTCCTACTCCATTCAATGTTTAAGAACCCACGAGGCATGTGGCTCCCTCTTTAAACTAATAAATCCTCACTAAAATGCTATAAATAAAGTTTCCTGATCCAAATCCAGTTAGTTTTCATGCTTGGCAGCATTAATATGGCCGGCTCTTCACAGACCAATTTAGCACTAATACAGTTCCCAAAGCTGAACTGCGGTAGGATCATCAAAATGGCAGCTTATCACTCCTGATTATAACCATTCACCTAAGTCACCGCATCTAAAGAAAAATGTCGGACACAGATGTGATCAGATATGTGAAATGTTATTCACATGTGAATTTATTACCAAGCCATCTACGACACCACAGCTTCAGGGGAGGGGGAGGGGCCTGTCAATACTTGTGTTATAAATTACACACCATTTTGCACAAACTCGTGCATTAGAAAATGTATGGTGTTTCCCACAGAACATCTGAGAGGCTTCACTGACTTCTAAATATCCATTTGGACTTGGGTGGTTAGTTCTTACGATTAATCCACGTTTTGTGAAGGCCTCAAATTCTTCTCTGTTCCATACAGTCTGACTTCTTGCCCATCTTTCTCTTCTTCCTCCATCTACCCATAACTCAATGTGTAAATATCCCCCCCCCTGCCCCCGCACCTCCAAGGTCATGGCAGTGAGTATAATAGTACCAAACGTCATTAAATCTGCAGAATGAATGAGAGGCCAGGTGAAGAGAGTTTCCATTTGTCATCCTTTTTAAAGTTGCTCCAACTAGGTCTTCAATGGACAGGTAATTGGAGCTTAAGTTCTGAACTTAAGTCCTCTCTCTTAAGGACACTGCTTTCTAATTCCATTACCAGGCTAAGAATAGCATTGTTGGAGTTGCAATATAAATAATAGGAAACAGAAGCAAATTGACCCCGAAGAACAGTCACACAAAACTCCTGTGACTCCAGGAACCCAAAGGACAGCACAGCTTAATAATATTCTCAAAGGAACCACATCAGGCAGCAGGAAACTGGAGAGGCAAAGGCCCATGGAAGGCTGCTGCTTAAGACGTACTTCCTCAG